AGAATAAATCCCTGCAATGAATCAGGTGTATTTTTGCCGTATACCTGCTGTTCTGTGTTTTACTCGGAACGATATGAATTTTGAAACAATCTGCCAACATGAAGATTGAACATGTGTTTATTAGAAGTGCAAAATAAAACCTATACTCGACCCTGCTGCGTACACACTGGTCAGGTGACGTGGCCGGGAACGCATTGTGGAGAGTCAACACTGAAGATAAGTAGTCACACACACACACACACACACACACACACACACACACACACACACACACACACACACACACACACACACACACACACACACACACACACACTGACGTACAGTGTTCCGCTCACTTAAAGGTCATTAACAGATACCAGATCAAGAATTACCCCCATTATCTGTTGATAGTTCCCGAATTTTTGCCAGCTGCACAGAACTTTCGTAACAATATATACAGCGCAAACAAAATTATTCCACCTACGCTGTCCATGTGGTTTATCGACACGTTATAGTTGTACACTTGTTTTGCCCCATGTTACGTGTCGAAAGACTTTTTTCCCTGAGAGATGATTAAGGTTGTTATTGTCATTGTCATTGGAACGTCAAATGGGTTATTTCGAAGGCAGTCAGTCAAAGAGACACTGGGTCGTTTGTGAGGACAATTTTCGCAAGAGCAGACTCTCGGTCTATATACTAGTACTGTAAAGATAAATTACGCAAACCCTTGGGTCGCTGAGTATTTTGTAGATAGTTATTCTCTAAGAAGCATGATTCCTTCTTCAACGTTGTGGATATCTTAAAGACAGAGAGAGCGAGCGCGCGCGCGAGAAAGACACACACACACACACACACACACACACACACATACACACACACATACACACACAAACGGACAGAGAGAGAGAGACAGACAGAGAGAGAGAGAGACAGAGAGAGATACAGAGAGAGAGACAGACAGAGAGAGTATGTGTGTGTGAGTATGTGTCTGCGTATGAGTGTGTGTGTGTGTGTGTGTGTGTGTGTGTGTGTGTGTGCGCGCGCCTGTGTGCGTGTGTGTGTGTGAGAGAGAGAGGGGAGAGAGAGAGAGAGAGAGAGAGAGAGAGAGAGAGAGAGAGAGAGAGAGAGAGAGAGAGAGAGAGAGAGAGAGAGAGAGAGAAACTCCTCATCGATATGCTAATAGGAATCGGTTGAATTTGTTGAGGAAAACAAAGGGCTGAAGCCGTTGGATTCATCTCGAAGTACAAAGTGAACACTACGTCACAGTACTTTTTACTCACAAAGGTGCCAAACGTTAAAATCAATTATATTTTCATGTTTCAACTCCTTGGATAACAATTATGTTCGGCACAAATGTTTTTCTTGTGTGTGTATATTTTTGTAGTTTTCTTTTTCTTCTGTTTTTCTTCTTCTCCGCCTCGGTAGGAGCAAAGTGCTAGCTTGCGTGCAAATGGGTGATCAGTCTTGCACATTTTAGCATCCTTAAAATTATGCGCTGTGAACATGGGTGTGAATGGTTGTCATTTCTCTGAAGATTTATGATGTTGTCGCAGTAAAGAATGGACAACATATTTTATTTGAAAGTTGAGAAAGTTTGAAAAAAGACCCACCCCCACCCCCCAACCACTCAAAACCTACCCCC